CCTTTCCTCCATTTGTCCTGATGGCATCTATTGGTCCAGTTGGGAGGATTTGGGTCTCTTACCCAGTGTCGTCATCCACACTGAAGGCTGCAATCCTTGATTTTCACCGGCAAGGCCTTCGAGGGCTGCTCGCTTTCAGCAAGCAGGGTTGTGTCACTGCACACCGCAGGTTGTTAACGAGCCATCCTCCCATCCCGAAGCCAAGTTCTTCTCCATATCAACCAGCTTCTCTGACTGTTCACCCTACAGATGGACTAAATATGGTGGAAGAATACAGCCCGGACACACACCTTTCCTGATTTTAAACCATCTGGTAACCCCTTTGAATGTCTATTTCATGGTCCAAGGCCAGGTTCTGCATGGGCACACTGAAGTGCTCTGGAATTCCTATGTTTTTCAGTGTGATACATAACTTGCTAGGACCCATGCAGTCTACTACTTTTGCACAGTCAATAAAACACAAGTCAACATCTTTCTGGTAGTCTCTGCTTCGAGCCAAGATCCACCGGACATGAGGATTGCTCTTTCTTGTTCCATGTCCTCTTCGAAATCCGGACAGACCCTCTGGCAGCTCCTGGTTTAAGCACTTCCAGCACGGCATCCATTTCTTGAGGTATTCCGATTGGTACTCCATCAATTCCTGGAGCCCTGTTTGTCCTCTGTCAGGGCCTTCAGGGCAGCATGGACTTCCTCCTTCATTACCATTGGTGCTTCTTCTTCCTTAAGAAAAAACTTTACTGTCACTGGGGTGAAGGTTTACAGATCATCAACTTTACATCCAACGATTGATATGCATTCTCTTATCCTTGCTTCTTGGTCATTAGCTTGGTCTTTAGCTCACAGCCACTCTGAGGGAGAAAGAGGCGGCTTTGAGTCCCGTAAAGAGTTACAACCCGAAGGGGCAGCTGTACCCTGTTCTCCAGGGTCACTATGAGCTGGCATCGACTCGATGGAGCTGAGTTGGGTGGAACCAATTGTTTTTGTTAGGTAACTCTCTGTCCCCTTTCCACCTTCTTTTGAGGCTCCCTTCGTCGTTCCGTAGCAAGCGTGTAGCATCTTCCACTCTTGCAACTTGGGGCTTGGATTTTTTACTTGCGTTCCGTCAGCGTGAGAATCGCTCTGTGTGTTCTTCTCTTTTGGTCTTCTAACTCGGTGCGCGTTTCATTATCATGCTAGACTTGGTCTTCTGCACCAAATTCAAACCGACCCACTTCCACTCAGTCGATTTCAACGCAGAGTGACCTAGAGAGAGGGCGTCTATCACTGGCAATCTTTATGGGGCAGGACAGCCTTCATCAGTCTCCTGCTGGTGGATTTGAACCATTGGCCTTGTAGGTAGTAGTCCAAGGCCTAAACTCAGTGCTACCAAAGCCCCTTTTGTCTCCCAGAGCTGCCCTTTGAAATCTGCTCAACTCTTTTCCTCTTCCATTTTCTTTACCTGCTCTATGGCCAAGAGCAAGTTTCAGAGTCTCTTCTGACATCCACTTCGGTCTTTTCTTTCTTTCCTCTATTAGTATTTTTTTTAACACAGATATAAATATTAGCCTGCGAAGGTTAACAGGCCAATTGTCAGACAAAGAGCTTGTAAAGTGGATTTTGGCAGCTGTACCCAGGCTCAAATGCAACCCTTGCAACCTGATCTCCCTCTGGGCCCGAAGTGAATTTATTCTCAGTCCTTTCCTCCTTCTTTAACGGCCTTTGGCTTTCTTTGGGTGTGATGTCCTTCATATCCTCCCACGACCCCTCTGATCTTTGCTCACTCGTGTTCAGAGCGTCTCTGAGTTCAGGTGGAATCTGTTCAAGGGTGTCCTTTGGCTCTCATGGACTTGCTTCCATGTTCTTCAGCTTCAACCTGAACTTGTATAGAAGCAATGGGTGGTCTGCTCCACAGTCGGCTCCTGGCCTGGTTCTGCCTGATGGTTCTGAGCTTCTCCAAGGTCTCTTGCCACGGATGTATCCATTGATTCTTGTGCATCCACGTGACTAGTCGCCATTTATGTTGCTGGGGAGGAAAAAGTATCTGCAATGAGTAAGTCGTGGGTCTTGCAAACTTGTATCAGGTGATCTCTGGAATTCTTTTTCATCATCAAAATTTCCCATTGCCAATCCTGTCCCCTTGTTTTTGATCTCCAACCACTGGTAGTTATCCATGGCATGTTGGCTGCATGCTTGATCCATTTCAGACCGAAGCTGTTGGTAGAATTCTTCCATTTCTTCGCCTGTGGCATACGTGGTCCGTGCAGACATTTGAATAATATTTGTGTTGACTGTCTTTGCTTGTCGGTGGGTGGATCTTATCCGAGCACAGACAGCACGCACTTCGAGATAGATCTCAAAGTAGACTTTTGGAGGAATGGCACGTGACGCCATTCCTCTTCAGTTTGTCACCCCTGGCACATTATCTGATTGTCTGATTCAGCCCGTGCCAGCTCACCGATGCCTAGGATGCCGAGCTGTGTGCTGGCTCCTCGTTGATGACTTCCAGTTTTCCCAGATTCACACTTCGAACATCCCACGTTCCGATGATTAACAGATGTTTGAAGCTGCTGCTTCTCATTTTGAGTTGCTTCCCCATCAGCAAATGAAGGTCCCCCAAGCTTGATTTCTCCCACCTCGTTAAGGCCGACTCTGCTTGGAGGAGGCTGTAGCTCTTCCTCAGTCATATTTTGAGAGTCTTCCAGCCAGCACGATGTTCTCCTGCTATCCACTGGCTGGATATCCAGTCTTTCAAAAGTCTGTTCCTTCTTTCTAGCCCGTCTTAGTGTGGAAGCTCTGTCGAAACCTGTCTGCCAAGCTAACCCTGCTGGTATTCCAAACCCCAGGACCTCAGCCACACACATGCTACCACGGCACGACACACTGCTAGACAAGTGGTCACGAGAATGAACGCGACACACAGAGACACCCAAAGCAAAACAAAACAAAACAAAACGAAACAGTGCCCAGTCCTGTACCACCCTCACATTCGTTCCGTTGCCCGAGCCCACAGTGCCAGCTAGAGAAACAAATTCCTAGACACTCATACGTGTATAAGAAAGAGCTTTATATAAAGAGTCATTGTCTATTAAGAGAACATCCCAGCCCAGGCCAGATCAAGTCCATAAGTCCGATATTAGCCCATATGTCCGATACCAGTCTATAATGTCCTCCAGAATCCAGGGGGTGGGGTGGGAGGGACACAGTTCTGTTTTCTGATGCTTCCCCAGGTGGCAACCTTCGTTATGGTAGCCATAGGAGACGGAGACCACCCCCCACTCCAACCCCTTATCGCCCCCCACACTCTTTCTGCCGAACTCTCTGGAGAAGATAAAGTGGAGGGGCAGCGAAGGAGAGGAAGACCCTCAACGAGTTGGATGGACACCGCGGCCGGCCGTGGTCTCTTAGGCATATGTTGTATGGGTCAGAATGGATTGATGGCACCAAGCAGCACCACCACTTGGAAAGGATGTTTGAAACTCCTGCAGAAAACCCAGCAGAGCCACGCGCGTGTAGGCACGGAACTGACGAGACTCTTGGCTATTCTGGGCACACTCACCTCTTGCTTAAGGTGACCAGACGTCCCGCCTTGGGCGGGACAGTCCCGATTTTGGGCGTTTTTTAAAAAGTCCCGATTTTTGGAAAGAATGCACGACAAGCTAGGGAACGGTCTATTTGGTCCCTATAGACCAAATTTTTAATCAAGAACCTCCCTCCTCCCACCCCCGATCAATGGTGTTCCGCTTTAAATCTGGTCATGGAGCAAGAGTCTTGCTCCAAAGCCACGCCAGCCCCACTCACCAAACGCATTGTGGGCTGACACTGGGGAGCCCATTCTGACACATAGCGACCCCACGTGACCCAGGAGAGCTGCCCCGGAGCATTGCCCAGGCTACCAGCTTGGCGGTCACTTGCCAGGCCTTTCTCTTGAGGAGGAGCTGAGCGAGTAGCGGATGTCCACCCAGGGCTCCTGGCATGATATTTAGATTTGGGAAAGGGGTCGTGTCTTTGAACATGGCAGGCCCACCTCGACACTCTCCTGCCCACAGGAAGCTCAAGGTTTCTCAAGAGAGTGTTCATAAGGGAGCGAGCTGTTGAAGAATCTATGTTGGGCCTGGGGTGGGGAAGGCTCCGTGGAAGGGCCCTCGTCTCCTATGCTGGAGACCTGAGTTCGATTCCCGGCCAGTGTGTCTCATGTGCAGCCTTCAACCATCTGCCCTTGTAGCGGCTCTTGGTTTCGAACCACTGATCTCGCAGTTGGCAGCCCATTATGTAAGCCACAATGCCACCGAGATGTGTTGTTAGGATGACCCATAGGTTTCAGCAGAGCCTCTAGATTCAGATGGATTCCGAAGAACGGCCTGGCTATGGCCATGTAAAATGGTGCAGGGCCATTTTAAAAGGTTGTCAGGGGTTGGGCCATGCAACTCGGATGGGGGCTAACAACATCATACCCGGGTGGGAAAATTACGGAGGCCTGTCGTGAACGGCACCAAATGCCACTGGGCCCTGTGCTGTCCCCACAATCAGCTGTGGGTCAGATCCCTGGGCCCCGTGGGGTTTTCATTGGCTGGTTTCCGGAAGTTGATCACCAGGCCTTTCTTCCTCGTCTTAGAGGGGAAGCCCCACTGACACCCCCTTCAGCCTCAGAGCAACACACCAGCCTCCGCAGACAGACGGCTCCAGAGTGGAACCCAAGTCTCTCCTATGGAAGGCGAGAGTTGTACCAAGGGGCCACCCCTGCCTCTAGAAAATGGTTGGAATTGTTAAATGCTTAGCATTCCTAAAACTGTGTGGGTGGGGAATTTTGTAGCTTTGGGAGGTGGAAGCACATCTGCAATAATGTAGCAAACATTTCCTGAGCTTTGGCTCAGATTAATCCTCCACCAGGTTGCTGAGGGGCAGCCCCCGTCCATTGTTACTGGCAAGATAGCCACTGGTCAGCCAGGGTGCGGGAGTGGGGGTGGGGAACCTAGCTGCCCTACCCCCCACCCGGAGGAAGTACCCACTGCCCCCCACTGTACCTGGGGAAGTCCTCGTCCTGCCATTCTTCCTTCACATCCACGTTTTCCATACGGAGTGTGGCTTCTGTGGTCCCCATGGAGCCGGGAAGAGGTGATGCTCAGACAGACAAGTCCTGAAAGGGAGCCACAGGCAGACAGACAGACAGACAGACAGACAGACAGACAGACAGGTTTTATTGAGTATTAATCATCACAGCAACTCCCCACCTGTGTGCAGATCTTAAGAGATTGAGCTGCACAAAGATTCTATAGAACCATCCTGACCAAAAGGGGGAAAATGTGGAACAGGACGAAAAATTCTCACAGACTCTAGACTTTTCTGGAGCCAGGGATGCTGGATGAAGCCCTGAAACTATTGCCCCGAGATCATCTTGAAATCTTAACCCTTAAACCACAAATAACCACCCAAGTGTTGTTTAAACCAAACAATATTCACTACTGTCAAGTCCAGTCTGATTCCCGGCCACCCTACAGAACAGGGTACAACTTCTTTGTAGGATTTCTTAAGCTGTAACCTGGGGGCACTGCGGGCTAGAAACCATAAGGTCGGTAGTTCAAACCCTGCAGCTACTCCAAAGGAGGAAGATGAGACTGTCAGCTCCATTTAAGATGTACAGTCTTGGAAATCCTGTGGGTCGCGGTGCGTTGACGTCAACTTGACGGCAGTGGATTTGTTTCTGCTGAGTCTCTACTTCCTCTCACGCACTTTGGACCTGTTATCAGAAAGGACCCGCCCCTCGGAGAAAGACATCATGCTTAGTAACGCAGCGGGTCCAGGGAAAAGAAGACCCTCCAGCGGATGGATGGACACAGTGACTGCGACCAGGGGCTCAGACATCAGCAGCGATGCTGAGCATGTGAGGGGCCCGGCCATCCTTCCTCCTGCTGTGGGCTCGGTCCCTGTGAGTTGGAACCTAAGCAACACATCTTTGTGGAAGCAGACGGCCAGACCTTTCTTCCTCAGAGCAATTAGGTGACTTGGAACCGACACAACAGCCTGTGGGTTGGCAGCTGAGAGGACACGGCGGTACCCAGGGATGCCTTCACAATGAGCGCCAACCATAAGGGGTTGACGTGGCTCCTGTCTTTCAGAGAAGCAGTGGGGAGTAGGGGTCGGCATATCTGAACTTGGGTCTCCCTGGGGCCTGACCACCCCCCAGGCCACTTGCCTCTCCAGGACTCAGTTTCTCTCTGTGGACAAAGCGGTTGGACCAGAAATTACTTCGATGGCTCCTTCCCACGATGGCAGCTTTCTTCCTCTGTCTTTTGACTCTGACATCCCACCCCTAGGGGAGACTGGGTGATGTTTGGAGACATTTGTGGGGTTCTGGACTTGCAGTGGGAGGGGCTGCTGGCATTGAGTGGGCAGAGACTGGGGATGTTGCTCAACACCCCACTGCGCACAGGACACCCGGCCCACCAGAGAGGGGTCCTGGGTCAGCAGTGTGGACAAGTCACTGATTGGAGGAAATATTTCAATTGAGCCCCTGCTCACCCATGCCCCAGCGTAAACTCCAGTTGAGTCGGATCGTCAGGAGCAAGATGAGGCTTTCTACTCCAGTAAAGAACTACAGTCTCGCAAACCCACAGGAGCAGTTCTACCCTGTCCTATAGGGTCACTGTGAGTCAGCACGGACTCATGGCTGTTTTAGTTTGTTTTGTCAGATGGTGTCAGGAAGGGCCATCCTCCAGCTCCTGTGATCTCCCCTGCCTCCCCCCCCACCCCAAGTGTGTGGATTTCAATGTAGGTGGTGCCTCAGGGAATCAAAAGATCACATGGTCATGGGATGCAGAGTCTGTGGGGGAGGTGTGGTCAGTGGAAACCCCTAACCCAGGGGGTTCAGCCTGGCCTGATTCTGTCCCTGGGGCACACGGGGCCAGGTCTGGGGACGTTTGTGCCTGTCCTGCTTATAGGAGGGTGCTACTGCTCCACACCCCACCGTGCAAAGACGCCCCTCCCCGAGAAGCACCTGGCAAGGGGTGGTTGTGGAGGGAGCGGGGTTACAGGGCACAGGACAGCTTGCTTTAAAAGGAGCAGAAGTCGCTGTGGGCTTTGGCACGTTCGCGGGCAGGCATGGGCTCAGCTCCTCATCCTGGCCCTGGTCTATCTCTGAATTACATCATCTCACCTCACAGCTTCCATGTGGGTGCCCCCTCTCCCGCTCCTTGGGGTGTCCTGGCTCAGACCCTGCTGCCACACCACCCTGTTTCTCCGTGCAGAGCCTGCCAGGCTGCTGGCTTGGGCGTGTCACCAACTCTGGCTGCGGGTGGCCAAAGGGCTTGGTGCTGCGCTGTGGCTCAGGGCGGAGTGCTGGGAGCCGGGAGGGGGGCACGGAGGCAGGTAGGTGTCTGAGCAGGGAGGGAGGGGGGCGCCGCAGAATAGCCCACCCGCTTCAGCTAAGGCCTCTTCACTTCAGTCTCGTCCTGCTCTGGGCAGCGGCAGTCAGTCTCTCGGAAGGCGGGGTAAAGCGCAGCCCACCCCATGCCCCCTCCGGGCTGCCCACGTCAACAGCCTCCGCCCCGGAAACTTCCGGCCCCCCGCACACCGTCCTTGCCCAGGCGACGTTTGTCCCCTCAGGAAATTCAGTTCCAAGCAGTGGGCGTGGCTTATCTGAGCCCCGGGTCCTTATCCGAGTGGGGTGTGACCTCAGACCCCATAACACAGGCCCGGGAGCTGACCGCGCGCACCCCACCAAAACCAACCAAGAAAACAACAAAAACATCAACTCACTGGGCCGCGGAGTGATGGCGAGTCGCAGCGACCCTACAGGGCAGGGTGGAACTGCCCCCGTGAGAAGTAACCACCGCGCCCCCGGGCTCTTCCCAGACCCACACTCCCTGTCAATACCGGCTGGGGGTGGGACACCCCCTGAATTCAGCTCCCAGCGTCACGGTCACTTCTGAGGGTAGCGGGGTACCTCTCAAGTGAGCTGTGGCGTTGGGTGATTAACAAGTCCGGATGGCAACCGAGAGAGGTCGGCGGTTCGGGGGACCCCCCACCATTCCCACCCACCCCCAGCCAGCAGTGCCGGGAAAGAAAGGCCCGGCGATGGTAAAGGAGAGACTCGCACGGAAACCCCGGGGAGCCCACCTCTGGCGCTCAGGGGGTCCGTGAGCCAGGCCGACCAGGGAGCTTTCTTTTGAGCACCGTCTCGTAAGCCGGGCTCCAGGTGGCTCGGTGGCCACCCTGGTCGCACGGGGTGATGTAAATGGCAGACGCAGGGGCGGGCCTCGGGGTTTCCAATCCGCTCCGTCTTGGAGCAGTTGCGAAAATGGAGCGGCCCTCCGTCCGCCTGACAGGTGGATGATTGGGGGCGGGGGGTGTGGCGGAGCGGGCCAGCATCCCCTGGCCAAGGTGCCTGCGTGAGCATCCTCCGAGGCCGGGGACCCGATTCTCCGCGACGCCCAAAGCAGCTCGTCTGCAGGGGGCTGGCAGCGAGGAGGACGCGGGGAGGAAGGTGGACTCACCTCCGCGGCGGCGGCAGCGGCGGCGGCG